TCATGCGCCAGGTCCATGTTGAGCTGGCCACATGCTTGGGGAGTTCCATTTCCGCCATGTCACTCGGACATTCGGGTCAAAACGCAAAGCAAGATGTGTTAGTCAAAGTCTTGGCCCCGGGATGCGACTTGATGGCGGACCATACTCTCATTCCTCCGGTGGATGGAGGTTGCAGGGGGGCTTCAGCGGGAGGCAGCCAGAGGCAGCCAGAGGCAGTCAATCACGGACGACAAGCCACGTTGCTCATGATCAGGTTCGCTTTACGTGCCGGTATGATTTTGATGGCGAATGCGCCTCGAGAAAACACATGATGTGCATACAGTAAGGTACCTAAGTAGGTAGGTACCTGAAAGATGTTATGAGTGATACTAGGTGGGGTGGGATGAATTGGATGGGTGCCAGTGAATCACACCTGCAGCACAGGGCTAGGCTTGGCACGGACAGCAACATCAGCGGCAGCGGCAGCAGTAGCAGCAGCAGCAGCAGCGTGGGATGAGTGAATGGCACGAGCAGCATGTCATGGAGGGCAGTCACCACTACCACCAATATGCAACTCTTCCCCGAACATGGGGATTTTTTGGCGCGTGGGTTGAACCCCTCATTTAGAATCTCTGCCTCGCACACCAGTTTCCGCTGCCGCCCCTCGTCATCTACCCAAAGTAGCAAGAGGGGTCCTGCCTCTGCAAATTGCCCGCCCCTTCCTTGTGGCCTCTTGTGCAATCGATCCTCTCGGCTGCCTCCCAATTCTGCTCGCATTGTTTTCTCCTGCTGCTCGGCTACAAAAATCAGAATTCCCTCACCCTTTGTCTGGTCTCAAGCTCGGCATTCCCAAGAGTTCAAACCCGTTTTTCCCAGGATTCCTTTCTCGGCTCCCATCACAACCGAAGCACATCTGCTGTGAGCTCTACGCAAGGCCAGCAAACCCCGCGTTCGTTCGACCGTCTAGTGAGCCTTCAGTCGTCACCTCGGGCCTTCCCGCATCCAACCAGGTTGCATTCAAGCATACGTACAAGCACCCAAGCCCTCCAAGACCACCAAGTCTCTCACCGACACACCCGGACAAAGACTTGACCCTCATCGACAACTTTTGCAACCTAGGCAAAGAGCCAAGATATTAGACACCAGTCCTAACCATGTCTTTCTTCAAGAAGCTCACCAAGGAGTTTGAGGACCTCAAGACCTCTTTTTCCGATGACAAGAAGGACGAGAAGAAGCCCGAAGAGTCACCCGCTCCTCAGCACCAGTCCAGTGGTACGTGCCTGACCCCAAAACCAGCATCTCTCAGCATTGCCGCCTGTGAAGTCCCCAGCCTGTCTGCTACTGCCTTGAATTGTCTAAATTTCTTGAAATTGGACCGTTTCCCGTCTTTGTGTCCTGTCAAGAGAAACATCCGCCTCGGTCTGCTGGGTCGATGTTCCTTGCGATGGGGCAGACAACTGCTTGGCACGACCTGCTCATCATCCCCACGCGAGCACCGGGGACGTACACAGCGCACTGGGCCTACTTTCGTCTCGTTTTGGTTGACAGACCGCTGTTTGCCGCTCTACCGCCGTATTGTCGTTCGCATAGACTTGCTGACGTCCGCTGGGGGTTCGCCGCATCGTGCGGTGGTCCTCCAATCCGCTTTCACAGATACTCGCAGCTACTACCCCTCTCAGGCTGCACAGCCCCAACATACCGATTCCGGCTACAGCAACGGCCACAGCAGCTACGCCCCGAACCCCGCTTCCGAGTCCCGGCCCTCCCCCGCTCCGGCTCCCGACGGCCCACCTCCCATGGCTGCGCCCTCCGTCCCTCCCGGCTGGGTTGCCCAGTGGAACGCCCAGTACCAACGTTGGTTCTACGTTGACCACAACACGGGCCGTTCGCAATGGGAGCACCCTGCTCCGCCTCCTCCCTCAGCACCTCCGGTTGGCCCCCGCCCGGGCGATGAGCATTCCGGCACTAGAGCTTTCGGTTCTCCCGCCCCTGGTGGCCACGGTGGTAGCTACTACGGGCAGCAGCCCACCCCCGGTTCGGGCTACGATTCCCCAGCCCCTGGAGGCTATGGAGCTCCTTCGCCTTACGGCCAACCAGGCGGCTATGGAGCCCCTTCACCTTATGGTCAGCCTAGTTACGGACAGCCTGGCTACGGTCAGCCCGGTCATGACCAGTCTCGCGCCTACGGGAACGACCCCTACAATGGTCACGGCACCGAGCAAAAGAAGAGCAGCAGTGGCATGCTCCTAGGTGCAGCTGGTGGACTCGCTGTCGGTGCCGTCGGCGGTGCTCTGATCGCCAATGCCATGAGTGAGTTAAATACACTACGTCAGATGGAGTGCCTGTTGCTAACTTGCGTGAAGATGACTCGGATGACGAAGCTCAACAGCAGCAGGCTGCTGCGGCCGCCGCGCCCCCTCCTGAGCAAGCCTACTACGCCCCACCTCCCGAGCAGAATTACTACGCACCGCCCCCTCAGGCTGATGAGCCCGCCTTTGAGGACGGCCCTCCTCCTGTTCTTGGCGCCACGGATGCCGACGGAAACTCTGTCGATTCGAGTGATCGCGAGGAGGTTGCTGAGGCTCGTGCCGAGTATGAAGAGGCCCTGGCCGCCGCCGCCGACTCGGACGCCAGTAGCAGCGATCACGAGGCTGTCGAGGAGGCACGTGAGGCCTACGAGGAGGCCTACGAGGAACATTACGGTGGTGATGAAGATGACTGAGCTCGTTGCTCTGATTTTGATATGTTGGCTTGGAGACCTTGCTTTTTGACGACAGCGACGTTTGAATGATACATGAATGCTGGTTTATTGATCGTCTGAGACGAAGACAATGCTTAGAACGGTATCGAACTGAAACTGATACGCAATTCTATTATCTTAGGCGCAGTGATGTTAGCTCAAGATTGTCTGTGATCCTGATGAATGCGAGGCAGTGCAGATGCCCGCGGTAGAACGTAGAGTTATGACTATGAATATCCCTGAGTTGACTTTGCTTTACCCGTGGTTGGTGAGTGGACTTGAATAGTCGCACTCATGATGAGTACAGTGATTCTGGGTCTATTCCTCTCTGTCAATGAGGTCTTTCGACTATTTGGCTCTTACGTGGTCCCATATCCGAAGTCAAAAGTTTCGAGCCATCTAATGCCGCCCATTGCTTGGGCTTCCCACGATGGACAATGTCGATGCGTTCGTTCCAAAGGCTTGAGAACCGAGAGTAGGCACCCGTTCAAATGACTTTGCCTGCTTAAATACCACCAGGACGAGAAGCAGTGGCCGGAACCGTCTTCGAGGCGACAACCCTAAACACAGGGGACTCTCAGTTCGATAATTAGTGGCACCAGTCTTTCAGATGTATTCAGGTAGACAGACGATGGAAAGGACTCGGCTGCTAAGCGGTCTGAAATCAAAGGCCCTGAGAGAATGAGATGCCAGGTCCGTCATCAACGTCAAGGCAGAAGATTCTTCCTGAAGGCCTACGGAAAGACCGCAGATTCCCGTGCGAGTTGTCGGAATAGGAACGAGAAGGGTGGTGAGTTTGTTAGGCATGCAGGCGGGGCACCTACAGCTCAGTCAAGACGCCGACAACGTAGACATGATGCCACATACCGATACATTACGGCATTGAAAACCTCGTCCAGTACGGCAAGGTTCCAACGGATTCAAAAGCTTAGTGACAACGCCGTCCCAGATTGGGGAATGCGCAAAGGCCAGCCACCTCAGCGGTTTGGCTTGCTGGGTCGCTACCGCCAAGTTGACCGAGACATATAAGTAACAGCTTTCCCCAACTGCCGCGTCTTGACAAGAACAAGCTTTGCGTGGG